ATTTTCAAAAATCATGATCAACAATTGCAAACGATTGAAAACCAAAGATTCTTAACATTTTCTTTCAGAAATCATGATCATCAATTGCAAAAGACACCAAATCAAAGGTTTTCAACATTTAGTTTTCACAAACCATGATAATTACAATTGCAAATCACTCCAAACAAGGGATCTCAACATTTTGTTTCCAGAAACCATGATCAACAATTGCAAAAGACACCAAACCAAAGATTCTCAACATTTTGTTCCCAGAAACTATGATCAACAATTGCAAATGACACGAAAAACAAAGATTCTCAACATTTTGTTCCCAGAAACCATGATCAACAATTGCAAATGACAGAAAACCAGAGATTCTCAACATTTTATTTTCAAAAATCATGATCAACAATTGCAAACGATTGAAAACCAAAGATTCTTAACATTTTCTTTCAGAAATCATGATCATCAATTGCAAAAGACACCAAATCAAAGGTTTTCAACATTTAGTTTTCACAAACCATGATAATTACAATTGCAAATCACTCCAAACAAGGGATCTCAACATTTTGTTTCCAGAAACCATGATCAACAATTGCAAAAGACACCAAACCAATGATTCTCAACATTTTGTTCCCAGAAACTATGATCAACAATTGCAAATGACACGAAAAACAAAGATTCTCAACATTTTGTTCCCAGAAACCATGATCAACAATTGCAAATGACAGAAAACCAAAGATTCTCAACATTTTATTTTCAAAAATCATGATCAACAATTGCAAACGATTGAAAACCAAAGATTCTTAACATTTTCTTTCAGAAATCATGATCATCAATTGCAAAAGACACCAAATCAAAGGTTTTCAACATTTAGTTTTCACAAACCATGATAATTACAATTGCAAATCACTCCAAACAAGGGATCTCAACATTTTGTTTCCAGAAACCATGATCAACAATTGCAAAAGACACCAAACCAATGATTCTCAACATTTTGTTCCCAGAAACTATGATCAACAATTGCAAATGACACGAAAAACAAAGATTCTCAACATTTTGTTCCCGGAAACCATGATCAACAATTGCAAATGACAGAAAACCAAAGATTCTCAACATTTTATTTTCAAAAATCATGATCAACAATTGCAAACGATTGAAAACCAAAGATTCTTAACATTTTCTTTCAGAAATCATGATCATCAATTGCAAAAGACACCAAATCGAAGGTTTTCAACATTTATTTTTCACAAACCATGATAATTACAATTGCAAATCACTCCAAACAAGGGATCTCAACATTTTGTTTCCAGAAACCATGATCAACAATTGCAAAAGACACCAAACCAAAGATTCTCAACATTTTGTTCCCGGAAACTATGATCAACAATTGCAAACAACTGAAAATCAATGGTACACTTGGAGGACAAGAGGTACACTTGGAGCTACTAGCTAGCTAGCTCATTCCTTGCTAGCTATCTAGCTCACCTCTTGCTAACTAGCTAGCTGCACTCCTTGCTAACTAGCTAGCTCACTCTTTGCTAGCCTAGCTACCTCACTCTTTGCTAGCTAGCTAGGTCACTCCTTGCTAGCCTATCTACCTCACTCTTTGCTAGCTAGCTAGGTCACTCCTTGGTAGCTAATTAGCTCACTCTTTGTTAGCTTAGCTAGTTCACTCCTTGCTAGCCTAGCTACCTCACTCCTTGCTAGCCTAGCTACCTCACTCCTTGCTAGCCTAGCTAGCTAGCTCACTCCTTGCTAGCTTAGCTAGCTCACTCCTTGATAGCTAGCTCACTCTTTGCTAGCTCCACTCCTTGCTAGCTAGCTCACTCTTTGCTAGACTAGCTAGCTCACTCGTTGCTAGCTAGGTATCTCATTCCTTGCTAGCCTAACTAGCTCCACTCCTTGCTAGCCTAGCTAGCTCCACTCCTTGGTAGCCTACCTAACTCACTTCTTGCTAGCTATCTAGCTCACTCTTTGCTACCTAGCTAATGGATACTCATTAAAAATGAAATTTTCTCTCTAAACAAATCCTCCTACGCAATTTCATTATTCCCAATTGTTCGTCTCATTTCTACCAAAAGACTTAATTTTATTTTCATTTATAAACGTCTAGTAACGAAGTTGGTCGAAACACTGAAATCTCAAACGACATTCACATAAATTTCACACGTGCGATCTATAGCTACTCCGTCCTCCTTTAAGCTACTCTAGATCGGTCAGCGAGAACCGATCGATCGTCGCGCGACACGACCCCACGTGTGTCTATACACGTCCTATGGAAAAGTTGGTAACGCCTAGGTGTCCGAGTACAAGCATACCTGCTCGCAGCGAGCCAGAAGTTGCAAAAGAAACGAGAGCACGGTAATCGATCGCGTGTGCCTCGAAACGCCAAAAAACGCACTGCCTTGACCCGGCTACGTGACACGCTCGACTCTACCGCGAGCTTCCTACGACGACCAAGGAAAGGCGTCGGCGTAAAAATCGTTTCCTAGAGAAAGAAGTTCGAGGCCTGGCGCGTCGGCGGTTCAAAATTCTGTTCGGGCTTTTCCAGGAATCCGCGAGGCTGCCCGCACCCGATAAATTAGGGCGCGATAAATTACGTTCGTCGGGTAGCGATCGCTGGAGGCTGCTCGATTCTATCGAGGTCGATTCCCCCCATAGGGATTCGCGGATGTGTTGCAAAATTCGATGGAATATTTATATATTAACGCGGTCACGACCGCCACACTTTTCCAGGGCACGTGGATGGAAATTTAGACGAGACGAAATAATAAATCGAGGAAAGGGCATGGGTGAATATAAGGGGGTCAAATGTGACCTTGAACCACATTTCACGTACGATGGAAGAGCATCAGAATCAAACATTATCAACCATCTTTTGCATGTACGTTGGTTTTCTCATGCTCCATTAGGGGATTTATGGTTAGTTTATTATTAAACTGATACTCAGGATTTCGATTTTAAAAAATTTGTTTTGTGTACAGGGTGTTCGAGTATCCATGGGGGGAATTTTAGTGGGTGATTCTAGAGGCCAAAATAAGACGAAAAGCAAGGATAGTAATTTGTTGATTGAGGCCTAGTTAAAAAGTTATAGAAACCTTTCTGACCACCCGGTATATTTTCAGTAAAGAATTTTTTTCTCGAAAGTGGGTAGGATTTCGAGGGTATGTCTATTGACCAAAAGTGATTGCAATTGACCCCTGTAAACGAAAATATTTTTTTTAAAACGATATGACATTTTTTTTCCAAAGTAAAATATTCATGGTCAGACATTGTATTTGAAGTAATGAATTTTTTTCTAGAAACTGAGTTGGATTTCGGGGATATGACTATTGATCTAAAATTATTGTAATTGACCCCCATAATTGAAAATAATTTTTCCAGAGTGATTTGAAGTTTTTCAATTTCGTCGAAAAACTGAGGCACCTAATTAGATTTTCAGTAAAGAATTTTTTTCTCGAAAATGATTAGGATTTCGGGGATATGTCTATTGACCAAGAATTATTGTAATTGACTCCTGCAATTAAAAATAATTTTTTTAGTACGATTTGAAATTTTTCAATTTTTTCATAAAATTTGTCCACCTACTCGAATTTTTTTCTCGAAAATCCATAGCATTTCGAGTGTATGTCTATTCACCAAAAATGATCATAACTGACCCTTGTAATAGAAAATAATTTTTCCAGAGTGATTTGAAATTTTCCAATTTCATCGAAAAATTTGGGCATTCGTTTTTCATTTTTAATAAATTTGTTTGTCGTTCTACGGAAATTTTGTTTAATACTTTTTTGTAGGCACCTAAGAGCTCTACTTCCCCTTAAAATTTCATTGAAATATATTCACTATTGTAGGAGTTATGGTCATTTGAAAATTGAGCCACTTTTATATAGTTTTTTACATTTCAAATTATTAAGAAACAAGTTTTTGAATATTCTTTGAATTTCTACATATTCTTCACTAAAATACGCGTAATTTGCCTTTCGAAACTTTAAAATCCTTCATTCCATTCAGAAGTTATGGTATTTCAAACATATGCATGAAAATTCAGGGAAACCTAACCTCACATTATATTTTCGGTGAAGAATTTTTTTTCTCGAAAATGGGTAGAATTTCGTGGGTATATACATTGACCAAAAATAATTGTAATTGGCTCCCCTAGCTAAAGATAATTTTTTTAGAACGATTTGAAATTTTTTTTGTCGCCGAAAAAGGAGACTGTCGATTTTTTTTTTTAAATCAGTTTTTCATTTTTAATAAATTTGATTAGCGCTCTACAGAAAAGTTGCGTAATACTTTTTTATAGGCACCCATGGGCTCTGTTTCAGAAAAAAATTTCAATGAGATACCTTTACTATTGTAGGAGTTATGGCCATTTGAATATTGGACCAGTTTTGGGGGGTTTTTCTTACTATATTATATTAGATTTTCGGTAAAGAATTGTTTTCTCGAAAGAGGATAGGATTTCAGGGGTATGTCTATTCACCAAAAATAATTGTAATTGGCTCCCCTAGCTAAAAATAATTTTTTTAGAACGATTTGAAATTTTTTAATTTCGTCTAAAAATTTGACACCTTCTCGAATTTTTTTCTCGAAAGTGAGTAAGATTTCGGGGATATGTCTAATGACCAAAAATGATTGTAACTGACCCCTGCAACTGATTATAATTTTTCCGTGAATGATTTGAAATTTTTTAATAACTTTTTAACGAAGCTTCAATTAACAAATTAATATTCTTAATTTTCATCTTATTTTAGCTTCTAGAATCTCCTATTAAAATTTTTCTCAGGGGTGATCGAACACCCTGTATATTGAGTTAATTATGCAAGTGGAATTATTCAACACCCCAACAAAAACAAATTTTAAAAATCGAAATCTAGAAAACTAGTGTACTAAGGAATACTTACACTGTTACCATTTGGAAATTAACTGTAAATCCTCTAATGGAGCATGAGAAGACCATCGTACGTGCAGAATGGAGGTGAAAATGAACGTCTATGAGTGAAATGCTTAGAACCTACCTTGAGGGAGGCCATGTCCGACACAGATCGATGCGTCTGAATGGTTTCCAGCTGATCTAAGCACCAGTCCAGCTCCTCCATCGTTTCCACCGCCAGCTTCTGATACGGCTCCTCTGAAAGGAGAAAGAAAATGGAGACGTTAGAGGATGTTCGTGTCAAAGGAAAGATGTAATTAATCGGCGAACGAAAAGGATCTACTGAAAAATTGAAATTGCGAGGGACTACAATGTCCTCGACGATAGTCGAGCATAAAAGCGGCAGATACGCAGTTAGAAGCGATATTAATTAAGTGTTTGGCTCCGGGTAATGCAAGAACGAGCAGTTGTTGAGATAATCGTGTACAATAAAAACGGGTGAAAGAAGTCTCGAGAAGCTTCGATAAAAAGAAAATTACGTTGCAATTGAAAATTTCAAGACACAACCTCATAAAAAAAAAAATAATTAGAATTGTGTCTGAAAAATTGTTGGAAATATCAGTTATCGAACTAACTTTGAAAATTTGTTTATTCGAAAGAAGTTTGAAGTATAGGATGTTTTTGAGGTTAATAAATTTTTAATATTCTAATGGTCAAAATTCAATTTTATTATTAATTATCTCACCTCCTGGTGCCAATATTCGTGGCTGTGGCGTGCTGCTGCCCTGCGCGCCGCTACTCCTTCGCGATCTGAAAATTTAAAAAATATATTTATAACACATCACATAAATGTTATAAAAATTCTTAACAGGACAATGTAAAAGATTCTTAAGTTTTATAAATTCTACTGTAGTTGAAAAGAATTTTAAAAATTGAAAAAATGGATTAAAGAAATATTGTATATAGAGGGTGTTCTGTCAACCCTGAGAAAAATTTTACTGGGAGATTCTAGAGACCAAAATAAGACGAAAATCAAGAATAGTAATTTTTTGATTGAGGCTTCGTTTAAAAGTTATTAATGTTTAAAGTTAAAGTGTGCAGCGTGCACGGTTCCCGTCTCACAAGCGAAACTTTAGACTTTAATAACTTTGTAACGAAGCCTCAATTAAAAAATTACTATTCTTGATTTTTGTCTTATTTTGGCCCCTAGAATCTCCCATTAAAATTTTTCCCAGGGGTGACTATCAGTCGCATAAATAAAATTGTTTTTACTTACTTGTTTGGCGGTACATTTGTGAGCGACACGAAGTTGTTCCTGACCGAGCGCAGAGATGCAAGTACCTGCGCGAATGGCGTGACGATGAGCTCCTCGCCATGGCTGCAAAACAAAATGAACGTAATTCAGTACAGAGAACTCTATAAAAATTAAGGATTAACGGGAGATACAAGGGATCAGCGAGGTGAGCGTTCATGATACGAGGCACGCGATGTCTATTGCACGTTTGCAAAACTGCACTAGAGGCATGCAAGCGTGGCATTTCGAAGTTGCAAACTGTACCCCTTTTCCATTTTCACCGATAATCATCCCTTACATTGATTACAAAACATTTTCTATAATTTCAATTCCTCAACGAAGCTCGAATATTACATAATATTTGTGGAAAGTTGAAATAAGAGCAACCACGGTTCGTGTACTTCCCTACATTGTTCGAGTCAGGGGTTCTCAATCACTTCAAAATTAATTTTTATCTCCCCCCAAAAAAGAATAATAGATGTTTTCAAAAATTAAAAACGACTCATGTATGGAGTAAGGAAGTTCAAATAAGAGCAACCACGGTTCGAGGCAGGGGTTCTCAACCATTTCAAAATTAATTTTTATCCCCTCCAAAAAGAGAATAACAGATCTTTTCAAAAATTAAAAACGACTCATGTATGGAGTAAGGAAGTTCAAATAAGAGCAACCACGGTTCGAGTCAGGGGTTCTCAACCATTTTAAAATTAATTTTGATCCCAAAAAAAAGAATAGATTTTTCAAAAATTAAAAACGACTCATGTATGGAGTAAGGAAGATCAAATAAGAGCAACCACGGTTCGAGTCAGGGGTTCTCAACCATTTCAAAATTAATTTTTATCCCCCCCAAAAAAAGAATAACAGATGTTTTCGAAAATTAAACACGTCTCGTGTATAGAGTAAGGAAGTTCAAATAAAGGCAACCATGGTTCAAGTCAGGGGTTCTCAACCATTTCAAAATTTTTATCCCCCCCAAAAAAAGAATAACAAATGTTTTCAAATATTAAAAACGACTCGTGTATACAGTAAGGTGGACCTTATTTTTCAAAGGACGGCAAAAAATAATAATAATTATAATTCGGTTTTCTCCGCTTTAATTCAAAGTTTCTATACAATTTTGTAAACATTTGAATTCGTTTTTTAGGCTTTATAAGAATACAAAAATATATGATCGCATTAAAAAAAAATTATAACCTTGAAATTTCAAAAATTGAAGAATAAAAAATTTTCAAATTCGATGTGACGCCATTCGTCCAATCTGCACCAAATTTTGTACACATAATTTTTTCGCACAGTGTTACAATTGTAGGGGGCGTCTCGACAAGAAGAATTGCAGAGAATATTTTTACCAAGTAAAACTAAGGTCCACCCTATCGTACAGACGTTGAACCTTGATTGTGGCAGGGAAACGGAGCTGAAAATCCCTGCAGCAATCAAAGCGCCCGATCTAATAAAAAGGGAACCCCACTGACGCGGTGTATCTTCATTATCTCAGCAGTCGCTATAGTAACACCTCTCATACTGTCCTCCGCGCGGGACAAGGTGTTGGACAGGACGAAGGGGTAAAATGCAAAACTCGATTCGTCATTCGACGATCCCCTTCGAAGCTTGTTAGAGACGAGCAGTTCGAAGAAGTGATCACTTATGAACAGAATGACGGAACGAAATAATCTAGATGGATGGAGGAGGCCATATTGTACTGCTAGCTATTGTACATTCCTCCATACAACTTCACTCGTTGCTAAGTTACCATCATTTCCATTTACAAACGCGTTGCAACGAGATTCTACTATACTTTCGTGAACACAATGACACCAGCAATCTTTTTATCTCGAGTTTAATCATCGAAGCAGAGATTTTTAAAAATATTACGCGTCAAGTGTTACAGAAAGGGTTATTTTGTATAATATTTATCGTACGTTAATTGCGTTGATGAGGTACGTGGCAGGAGTCGAATAAGAAGAAATAGTTTGCACGTGGTTAACCTTTTGTAAGAAAACTGTACTTCGACACATCTCTCGCACGTGTCACAAGACGTACTGACTAACAAAGATGGCGCATCCGCTTGCGTTATGGTGGCGCCCTCACCGATCGACTAGGTGGCGCTTTCGATCTACAATCGACTTCAATAAATTGTTTATTTAACTATCTTGAAGAAACAAGCCAGACACGAATAATATAAATAATTCAAATATGATGTAATGAATAAATAATAAAAATATGATGTAATAAATAAATAATTAAAATATAATGTAATAAATAAATAATTAAAATATGATGTAATAAATAAATAATTAAAATATATTGCGTGTCAAGTACTACAAAAAGGACTATTTTATATGATATTTATCACACGTTAAATGTTTCTGTAATTATCGCGAAGAGTCTGGTCGAGCCAGACGCGAACAAACATAACCTAATTTATTGGCTAGTTTGTGCCAATTCTATTTATGCGATTCACGTGCATCAATGTGAATTACTATAACTAGTAAATGCTTTCGTAGCAACGAGCCTGTCGATAAATCTACTGTTATATAATTCTCTAATGTTAGGCTAGCAGTGATAAGAATAAATTCGATTCGAAGGGGGCCTGGAAAGTTCACCTGCATTTTTCATACCACTGCAGTGGTATTTCGCAACGAACCCGAAATGGACAAGCGATTGCGTTCGTCGTAACAGAAGCACGAACGCCCCACTAAAACCATGATACACTTTATCTGGATAAACTTACATTTCATTCTATCAATGAAACTATGAATTTGCATGAAGATTCTTTTAATAATCACACTCTGTGCTTTTTATAAAAACTCAAAGAATAACTCATCTATTAAGAAATTCTTCAACAATTATTAACTGTACTTAGACAACTACAATTTTTAATATTTATGTTTTGCATTCTTACTTTAGTTGATACAGTACCTAGAAGGCTAGTTGCAATGGTAAAATCAAAGGGGAATCCTACTAAATACTAAATGTAGATATTAATTTTCAATTATGTAATAAACTAAAATGGATAATAAATGAATATGACAAAGAGTTTTTCCTTTAAATCAATTTGTTTAGAAGTTATGAGCACTTGTGCCTCAACAAACAGGCTCCGCCAATACTTGATGACCACCACTGAATAAAAGAGTTGTATGCACCTTGTTATTAGAGTGGAAATTCCCCAAAAATACTGTTCTTCTCAGTTCCCCAGGTTGTTCCCTGGCCGAGCTATAAAAATAAAGGCGAGACAGACAATTTCAACAGAATTTCTCTGATTTTATTTAACTCTAGCAGACAAAAGACAGGGGTAACTTTGTTCGTGGAGTCGTTGGAATATCAATTCCACTCGAGGACTGAGATACTTGCCGCCAAAATTGCTTCCACAAAAGACTATACGACATCGTCTCTATCGCGGAGGAAAATCCCGGAAAGTTCCTTCCATCCAGAGGATTAGTCAAAGAACTTGGAAAGCCCAGGGGAAAGTAGGTTACATTAAACGACACTGAGCGGCTATAAAGCGTGTCTCCGTAGCTAAGAAGACATATCTACGTTCCTCTATAAAGCCCTGGACAAGGGACTCGCGTCACGTATGGATGTGCACCTATATACACAGTGTCCACGAAGTCTCCAGTTTGGAATTTCAATGACTTCCAACGAACACGTGACAAACTATTTCGAACACTATTTTAAATAAGCTGTAAAATTAAAATAAGATAGTTTCTTAAATATGAAATCAATTTTCAGTGAATAAAATATTTTATTTTGAAAATTCAAAGTATTAAAATTAAATATTTTATTTCAAAAATTTAAGATGGTTTTCAGAAAATAAATTGTGAAAATTATTAACGTAATGCAGAACGAGATGATAAATTAAATAAATAATTATTTGAACTATGGCACAAATATTTTCAACTTTTTTTTAAAAATAAAATACTATTTGAAATATTATCTTGCAAATGTTTTACAACAAATAAAATATTTTACTTTTAAAAATACATGTATTATCTGACGTAAAATATTTGTGTTTACCATTTGGGGTTTAAAACAGTATTTCACCCAGCTCTGCACTCATGTTGCTCAAGATCGTTATATGGTCGATGGATCCTCCAGGAGCAAGTTTTTTGGCGCGCTCAGCATGAGCTTTTGTTGCATAAAACAGGTTAGTGACAGGTCAACGCGATGGTTCTTCCCCTCGATCAATAACTCGGACCGAACTTTCAAACATTCGTAACGATGTGACTCGAAAAAGACGAGGACAGAATGGAAAGGAAGCAGGAAGCTGCAGAGATGAAAGGGGGAAAAACCGTTTTTACGGAGCCTCAACTGGGGCACAATTTAAAAGACCAATTCGAGGGAAACGTACCGAGCTGCTTCTGAGAAATATCCTGGCTTTCTTCAACATTTTATTCTGTGAATCGAAAGTATTCCGATGTGCTGGAAACTTTTTAATTATTCAATTGCAGTTAAATAACGTTTTCCTCGTAAATACTCATTGATTTGATAGTTAAATGTTTAATTCCATTTTATAACTCTGCCAACTTTGAAAAAAATTTTACTGGGGGATTCTCGAGACCAAAATAAGACGAAAATCAAGAATACCAATTTCTCGATGGAGGCTTTGTTAAAAAGTTATTAACGTTTGAAGTTCCGCCTGTGAGACGGGAACCGCGCGCGCTGCACATTTTAACTTTAAACATTAATAACTTTTTAACGAAGCCTTAATTAAAAAATTACTATTCTTGATTTTTGTCTTATTTTGGCCTCTAGAATAACTCAGTAAAATTTTTCTCAGAGGTGTATAAAACTTAATTATTTTTAAAAAATATATGTTGGATTTTAGTTACGTAATGAAATATATGTAAATGTTGATTTTTAGCGCGTTGGTTAAGCGCTTGTGAGAACGCGATCCCTCTGGTGGCGACGCCACGAACAATAAAAAAAAAGAAAATATTTTGAACACTGTGCTAGAAACTTTCTAATTATTCAATTGCACGAGGTTAAATAATAACAACATTTTCCTCGTAAATACTCACAATTTGATAATTACGTTTAATTCCATTAACATTTAAAAAAAAAAAAATATTTTGAAAACTCTGCTAGAA